CCTAAGTACCGGTATGTGAAGGTTTTGGCGGGAGAACAGCTAAATCGGTAACCAGAAAAGCTGGAAAGCTGAAATTTTGAAGGAATGTTCCCCGTCCAAGTACAACGAAAATATTTCAAATTCAGCCCAAACGTGGTACTCAAGCAACAGCTTAAGAAAGTTTGCGCGGGAAAATTTTAATTCGAGAAGTAGAAAAGCTAGAAAATTGAAGTTTTAGAGGAAGTTCCCTCTCCAAGTACAATTTAAGTATTTCAAATGCAACCTTGAGGCATGCGTGGTTCTTACGCACGGGCACTTAAAAGTCTTGATGAAAAAATTTCTCACTGAACAACTAGGTTATTTTTAAAGAACGACTGTGAAATGGAAATTATACATTACTTTACAAAATCTATGGTGATTTATGCTAGTGACCGCAAAAGGTAGGTGTAAAGCAACAGCCATTCATACAGCTAATGACCTGAGTAATTAAAGTCCGGTGCAAAAGCGCATGATCGCACAGGCCACCCGGTGCGTTCCAGCTTGAGTTTTATATAGTTATTTAAACTGCAGAAAATACAGTAACACTTTGTAACTGACTTGCTGGAAAATTTCTTACTAGCAAAACCTGCAGTATAAAGATCAAAAGTAGTGCAAACTTTTGAATTCAAGCTCCTCAAGCTCAGCAGCAGTTTTTTCCACCGGTCCGGATTGAAAGGCCGACCCTTCCAGAAATGATCGGCGGGCATCAGCTACTCCTGAAAAAATACGACTTTTTCAGCCCATTCTATTTTTGTATCAAAAGCATCACTTTTTTTAATAGCAAAGGAAAAATAAAATTTCAGAGTTGCAATTCGTTCCGTGATAAAAACAAGAATAGGAGCATAGACAAAGATACCTCTGAAGAGAACCAGAAATTACATGTTCAAGCGCAGAAATACAAAATTTATCAGCCGGCATTTAAAATAGAATTGTTTCTCATGATCAGTGCCTATCTAGCAGATGAAATTTTGATAATCAGTCGGTATGCATGTGAAGGGGACGGGAAAACACCAAGAAAAGGACAGACCTGAGGTATCAAGCTCACTGCTGTCCCACGTTTTAACAACATTTTCATTAGCTTCTATCCTCTCATGGAAGCGATCCTTGACACCTGGGCCCTTTCGAAGCTCTTCTAGATCCTCTTTCGGCATTTCCTTGACGTCGGCACCTTTTACGTTTCCTGTCTTCCATTTGTTCTTTATGTCACCCACCTAGAAATTTGTGTAGCGTAATAATGGGTTGTTCTTAAGATCAACTTGATTCACAGGCTCTACGTGGGATTGTCTCGATCAATCTGCATATGTACCAAACCGGTTCGTTCATCTCTAAGTTTACTACGCTTGCTGCTTTAGTACACCTATGATTAAACTTCTCGCTCAAGTAACACTAGTCGAAGGAACCTAAACTGATTTAACATGTTATAAAAGATCTCAGAAACTAAAGAAAAAATGTTGAACCTGTTCGAAGCTAAGATCTTCTTTGCGGAGCTTTTTGTTTTCACGAACGATACTTGGATCTCGTTCTTGCTCTTCTTCCTCCTGTTCATCATCATTTGTTGCACCCGTGACGAATCTGCAAAACCA